CGCTCCTCAAACCTCAGTCCACCCCACCCCCACCCACACTGCCCTGAAGTGCTTGTATTTTGCGTCTTGCTAACTGCAGCATTCCTACGCAGCGTGTGTCAGGTCTTTTGTTTTCATGCTGTTTGAGGTTCACAACGATGTGGATTGGGTTTTATTTATATCAGCGGTTTTCATGTGGACCTGATCATTACATCCTGGGTGTGTGTGTGTGTGTGTGTTTGTGAAGAAAATGGTCAGCCAAAGACGACAACAAGCAGCAGATCATAGTGTTTTCTGTAAGAGGACGGTGTTGACAGGCGTCTAACAGAGTTTCTGGCTGACCGTTGTTTCAGGAGACACAGGATGACTCATATCCCCTCCTTGTCTGGCGTCAGCTTGGGAAAAATATAACCTCTGTCCATATTTCTATCTAGAACCCATATCTGCAGATTCCATGTTGACCTCTCATTACTTATTAAGTCGGTAAAACAGCAATTGGTAACCAAAAGTGGGCCACATGTGCACATATCGGTCCAAAGACAAACCCTAGGTGTGGCTCTCGTGTTCTTGGTGATGAATTACAGCTGAGGATTTCATGCCATTCCCTTTCTCTTCTCCAGAATCCTGGGCTACACCATGGACCTGGACGAGGAGGTCATCAACGATGCCTTCTTCAGAGCCTTCAAAGTGTGGAGCGATGTCACTCCGCTCACATTCACCCGACTCATGGACGGAGAGGCGGACATCATGATTAATTTTGGACGCAACGGTATGCCATGTGTATTGATAAGAACGTGTTTGTGTTTTTAGGTCGGCTGTCAGAAGCTGTCTTCTGGTGCCCTGCTCCTCAGCAGTGACAGAGGAGACACAGCAAACCTTTATAATAGTGATGTCACTAAAGGCTCGTGACACTGTCCTATTGATATTTGACAGAGAGACTGTCTAAGATGACTGACACCGTGGTCAACCTGTCGATAACATTTATCAACAATCACTCTTTCAACACACTGGGTAAATTATACTGTGATGATGTCATAAACAGAGCACGGAGACGGTTATCCCTTTGACGGCAAAGACGGCCTCTTGGCTCACGCCTTCGCTCCGGGGGCAGGAATCGGAGGAGACTCCCACTTTGATGATGATGAGCAGTGGACACTGGGAGAGGGCCAAGGTAATGAGTTTGTACTGCAGTTAATCACTGAAGTACAGTTTAATACGTGGAGGCAAACTGCAGTATGAAGCCAACGATGTCTAAACCGACAAAGATTTAATCTGTGCCATAGCTGACGTGTCATTCATGTCAGATAATATTTATTTAATGTAAGACTTTTATGGACTGAACTCATTGTTTGGTCTGACTGTCTGCAGGCTGAATAGGAAAAGAAGAAAATCTCTACCACTTCCATTTACTTTAACAGATATTGACCCAGATTCCTGTCATCTGCCTTTGCCATTATTCCTAATATTGTGCAAAAACAATCAGACTGTGACATTCCTTTTCTTGTGCACAGTGCCAAAAGCCCACTGGCAGTTTCAGGTAGCCCCGTGTTTACAGTTAGCTCAGGAACAATAGCAACGTCGTCAACGTGCAGGAACCCGTCTTTAATAATTAGCTTTGTCTCATCGTGATAGTACATCGGAGAGTTGTATCACCTGTTCTTTTGGTGTTTTACAGTGGTGAAGGTTAAGTTTGGCAACGCCGACGGAGAGTTCTGCAAATTCCCCTTCCTGTTCCAGGGCACCGAATACAACAGCTGTACATCTCAGGGTCGTGACGACGGCTTCCTGTGGTGCTCCACCACTTACAACTTTGATGATGATGGCAAATATGGATTCTGTCCTCATGAATGTAGGTACACCACAAGGCTGATAAATACTTTTAGTCAAAAAATAATAATGGAAATTAAAGTGAGTAAATGAATGTAACATCTGGACTTCTGTTGTAGTTAGTGCCATCTAAAGGTTTATTACAAAGAAGTTGTTCATATCACTAAATTATAAGTTGCTCCTCGGAGTCTTGACAGAAAGACAGTACGTATGGAACCTTTCTTTTTCCAATATCGTCCATTTGTCCAATTCGGATTTTTTTTATATTTCCTTAGATATTATAAAAGAAAACCTATATATTACAAAATAACAGACTAGATATGAATGCAGTATTTATTGTCATTGATCATTGTCTTCATAATCACCTTCTCTCTGCAGTGTTATTCACCATGGGTGGAAATGCAGATGGCGCTCCCTGCAAGTTTCCTTTCACATTCCAGGGCGACAAGTACGACTCCTGCACCACTCAGGGCAGGGACGATGGTTACCGCTGGTGTGCCACTACTGAGGACTACGACCGGGACAAGACCTACGGGTTCTGCCCTGAAACTGGTAGGTGGTGTAGTGGTGCATGTACAGAATGACAAAGACTAAGACATTATTTATTCAGATATATATTTACTGTTGTAAACACTGTCTTTGAAACACAAGCGTCTGTCTCAGTGTTTGCTGAGATTCATTTTACTCCCATGTGCCATGTGTGGTTCCCTGTCATGTGCTGGTCGACAGGAATCCCCCAGCAGGCTGTTCCAGTCTTGCTTGTGGTCTGCCAAATGGCTATGAAAGCATTTTAATGTGCAGTGGCAGGGTTTATTTTCCATTCAGTCAGTGGGACTGCTTGAAGAGAAGAAGTTTGGTCAGACAAACACACAGGACGAGGCAGAGAGCTGCGTATTCTAGTGTATAACAGCATTTGCTGAACAGGATGTTGATGTTGCATAAGACACTTCCTGTATTTGCAATTTCAAAGTGAGATTTGAATGAGAGTTGACAGTTGTTTTTCAGTTGTCTGTGCTGAGCTGTTCCCAGTCATCTGGTTTTGATTTCTATCCTTTAAAAAACAAACCCGTCATGTCTACACGTCCGTTCCTCCCTCAGCCATGTCCACAGTTGGAGGAAATGCAAACGGAGATCCCTGTGTTTTCCCCTTCACTTTCCTGAGTGACACCTACGACTCCTGCACTGCATCTGGGCGCAGTGATGGCAAGATGTGGTGTGCCACCACTAAAAGCTACGACGACGATCGTAAATGGGGTTTTTGTCCCGACCAAGGTAGGAAGTGAGCCAGTCGTAGCCGTACAGACCGACGATTTCTTTATCACACATTCAGACCGCCAACATTTCTGACTGTGTCCTGTGTCCTCAGGCTACAGTTTGTTTCTGGTGGCAGCCCATGAGTTTGGTCATGCCCTTGGTTTGGAACACTCCCAGGACCCTGGAGCATTGATGGCCCCCGTTTACACTTTCACCAAAGACTTCAGACTCTCTCATGATGACATTCAGGGCATCCAGGAACTGTACGGTGAGGAGAAACGTCACGTGAGGCCAGTGGTCGGGACAGAAACCACGGCTAAGGAAATATTAATTTCACGCATTGTAAATAACACATGATGTTGCTGAATCTCTTTAAATCAGGCGTGTCGACAGACAAGCCTATGCCCCCAACTCAAGGTCCTGTTACCCCAATGGACATCTGTCGTGAGCCGGTGGTCTTTGATGCCGTAGCTCAAATCAGAGGAGAGACGTTCTTCTTTAAGGACAGGTAATTATTAACAGGAACACAGTGTTAGAACGGGATGAAAACTGACTGTGACAGTGACAGCTAATGTAGATGTAAAAACAGCCTCTCCTTCACTGATACCACTCCACAGTCTGGTAAGTGGACTGTATGTGTGCAGTCAAACCTTAGTGTAGAACAGTACTTCTTAAATAGTGGGGCAGTAAAATATTTCTCAGAGTAAAATCAGTTACTCGTAAAATGAAAGATTCCCAGTGTCACTGGAATTTTGATGTCAACAGGCAGTTCACCTTCATACCAATAGGGTTCAGTCTTTGATTTTGCAGAGATTTTAATCCTCTCTGGGTTTACCCCCCTTTCTGCCCCCTCCCCTCACAACATGTCACCTAGCTTGGCTTTTTTCCACACATTCACAGTGATCAGCCGAGCGGCACATGTGAGGCTCTTTTGAAGCGCGGACATCAAGTCATGGTGTTTTAACTCTTCAGATAACTGGGGTATTCGACTTCACTCAAAACATTGTGAAATGGTCTTTTATTTCACAAGTTTCATATAACGACGGAGGAAAGAGTATTGTTTTCACATGAGTTCTTGTTGGCGCTCGACATTTCCTCTTAATCTCGATCACTGCTTGTCTTCTGGCACAGCACTGTGTTCAGTGTAGGACAAATCCTAACATGATGCAACCAGCAGTGCCTGTAGTGTAGTCCTGACGTCAGCGTTTTACTGTGTGTGTCTGTCTGGGGGCTTAGGCTGAAGGCAATTATAAAGTCTGTCCCACAGAAAACAGTTTGGCCAAACTGCTAATTTGGAATTAGGACTGTAATTTAACAGAACAAATATTTCTCAGTGATAACACATGTTCATGTAACCAGAGCCAGGAGCTGTTAGCAGGACACAGCTTTACCTACTGATTCTGAAGCAGACAGTGTCGGGCTTAGACGATGAGTTGGTTTAAAAATAAAACCTGAATGTGTCTGTTGGACCAATGCAGTAGGATGTTGATGATGAAAGCGTTTTTTTTTAAGATAGCCTGCCTCCTGAGAGCATCTTGGTGCAGATTCACCCACACTGAGGTCACAGGCCTGTGGTGGGATTATTGAAGATTATTTAGAGGCGTTGAGGTACAATTACAGATGTTCAGGATCAGATATTAGCAGTTCAGAGGGACAGTTAAGGGTGTAGGGGGGTTGTTTGTTTGTGAGTTCCTTGTGCATCTTTGGAAATAAGGAAATAATCTGAAAAAACAGACAGAAGATGACAGGTATAATATGTGTCAGGATTTACCAAGTTAAAAAAATAATAATAGTAAATTATAATTATATAACTGTACACAGTGAACTCCCAAGAAAACTCTTTAAACTAAACTAAACAAAAACTTTTTAGGCTAAAATGTGCGTCTCCTTTAATCCCTCCTAAATCTAAGATCCATCTTCATTTTTATCAGTGTCCCAGCCCTTCTTTTCATCTGGCAGATCTGTTGCCTCTTATAAAATAGGTCAGTGGAAAAGAGTTTGGGAAGCCATGGTTGTTGTGCAGCTGTGAATTGGAAATCCGGGCAAGATGGGTCTTGTTCCACTGGCGTCGGCAGCCCCAGTCCTAACGAGAACCAGATGCTCATGAATCAGGCCATTGTGGCTGGTTCAGCCAGTGAAGCACTTGCACTAAAACCTCCCTCTCTTCCTACACATACAGCTCACCTCAGCCTCACCCCCTCCCCTCTGCTCCTCACTCCCTCACTCACCCCCAACTCCTTTTCCCTAAATGCTCACCCACTCTCACCTCTCTGTCTGCCAGGTTCCTGTTCCGGTCAGTCAACTTCAGAAGCAAACCCAATGGTCCCATGCTGGTGGCCACCTACTGGCCTGACCTCCCCAGCAAGATAGATGCTGCTTATGAAAACCCACTGGAGGAAAACTCTGTCTTCTTCGCAGGTATGCAGTGGGAGAGAATTAGTTGGATTCATAATAAATAAGATTTGAACTTTCTGCAGAGTTAATGTTTTAGGTGGGCGTTCTACCAGTGCAGTTGTTCTTTTATTTTTTTTCTGCAGTACTCCCATTTTGTAGATAGCGCAATTCTCAGACCACTGCCTTCCTCTGTTGCACTGACACATTCATAAGGAATGTTTTGAATCTCTACTTAACTGAAGAAAAAACACTTGAATTTCATCCAATTTGAGATGACCTTATTCCTATTTAATGCTAAAAATAAGATCAGAATACATTGATACATAATCTGTTTCAAACACTATTGATCTGTCATTTGTTTTTGCTGCCGGCACTAGTTAATTTTGAATTACATAACCTGTCCATCAAGTTTCTATCACTATTCTGTTTGTTTGGATTCCAGAAACTGTTTTACTTTTATAAGTAACAGTAGATTTTCTTCCTTTTTTTTTTTACTCTCAGACACTTTTCCGTTTCAGAATCAAGGGTTTTGTTTTTAGTGAAACAAAATGACAGACAAGAATGTTGGCACTCTGCTGTGCACTCTGAAGACACTTGAGATGTTCAGCAATAGTTATTAGCGGTTAAAGAACGGTTCCTTGTATCTTACCAAAATGAATACTGATGAGATTTATGGAACAGATTTCTCTGCTGGAATGACTTTTGCAGCTGAACTGCTTTAGATGACAAACAAAGTTAATATCTAAATCGATTAAACATTCACATATTTGATATGAAAGCGTGTTTGGTGTCCAGTCCTGTGTTAAAGTCAGTTATTTATTTGTTATATTTCTATAAAATGTATTTTCTTTTCTCATCCAGGCAATGAGGTATGGGTCTACAAAGCGGATCAGCTGGAGAAAGGTTACCCCAAAAAGCTCTCCAGCCTCGGCCTCCCCTCAGACCTGGAGCAAATCGATGCAGCCTTCAGCTTCAGAAAGAACAGAAAGACTTATCTTTTTGCCGGAGAAAATTTCTGGAGGTGACGACCCTGAGTTATCCATGGTTTTGTGAGGCTAAAACTCTGTATTTAGTGTTTGGTTTGACCTGAACTGTGCTGTAAAACCACAGCCGCCCTTTTAGCCCTAACACAACATGGGAGTTCATACTGTTTATGTCTGGCTGTTGAGTGTGCGTCTGTGTGTGTGTGTGGTGTAACACTAAGACACGGCACGTTAAACCAATGCATATTTCTGTCTTGTGTATACAGATATGATGAAGAGAGAGGTGCAGTGGACCCAGGCTTCCCCAGACTTATTGCTGAATCCTGGAATGACATCCCAGATGGACTGGATGCAGCCTTCAGTCTTAATGGCATTGGTAAAAAAAGAACAAAAAAATCTTTGAACATAACCTTTTTAGGGAAAAGATTTAGAAGTGGATAAAAACCGAGTCTGAAGCAAAGAACTCCATTTTTTTTTATTGGTAAAGATATATACTCCGGAGCGACTTATAGTCTGAAAAACACAGTACTTCTGTTAGTGTATTGGCTCAGATGGAGCCCTATAAAGCAAACGCTGCAGTACAGCTAGGATTACTTCAGGTATTTTAAGGAATGATGACGGCGGACTGCTTTTTGATTGGTAGGCTTATAGACAAATAAACCAAGTGTATCAGTGGTATATGAAGGGAGTCATTTTAAAGTCAGGGAGTCTCTCTCTCTCTGCAGAACTAAACACACCGTGGGAGAGAATCTGTTTTTCACAAGTCTTTCTATGCAGTGCTTGAATTTTCAGTGATTTTAAACCATCATCATTTTCCTTGCTCAGTGAGTAGGGTCCTGCTCACTACCTTCAATTGGCCTTCAGATTAGTAAACACCCTCCTAAGACTCAGCTATGTATCCTCGGACTCTTCGGCGGTATGTAGATTTCTATGGCAAGAAACCAGGGGTTTTTCCATTACTGCTCTCCAAACTTCCACATGGTCCAGTAAGCATGGCTTTGCCTCTTCCCCACGCGGTCTTTATATAACGCCAGTCTGTTCCCTTCCACAGAGCTGCCTCTGTATGCTGCCTGATCAGCTTAATCCAGAGAGAAGACCCATGACCTGATTTAATCTGCGCAGTTAATCCTCAAATATCATTAATCGGATTATTTACCCGTTAGAGAGAGATGCATGTTCATTTTTTTTTAATACGATGGAAGTATAATTCAACTGGGCTTTTTGTCTCGACAGATTACAGCTACTTCTTCAAAGGCAACCACTATTTCAAACTGGAAGACAGCAGCTTGAAGATCGTCAAACTGGGTGAAATCACAAAGGACTGGCTGGGCTGTTCATCATTTTGAAAGACTTCACCACGTCTAAATATCTGAAAGGAAGTTGGGCCTCAGAAAGACATTGGCATTAGAGTGTGCACAACATGGGGTTGCTGCAGTGCACTCAGTCATAAGTTGTTTTTTTTTTCTGGCAACAATGCCCCCCCCGAGGGGGTGTGTCCCTTTTCAGCCTGAATAACCAGCCCTCAGCTTTGTACAGAGGTACTTTAAGACCTTCTGCAAATGCTGAACATAGGCAACTTGATGTTTGCTTCATAAATGTGTTATTGTGACGTTTGATTTTTAATGCTGTTGCAGATTTATTAATGAACGTGTAACCCCCCATGTTTTATTGTTTTAGTTTTTTGTGTTTTTTTTGCCTTTTTCACTCAGACATCAGGTATGTCCACGCTGCACCAGAAGCAGTGCTATACTTTGCTGTGATGTTTTTGTTGCATAAAAATAAAAATTTTAATTTTAATTTTTTTTAAATCACATGAGGATATTTCAAGGTAAGTGTACAAGATTTTTGTAAATGTATCATTTTTAACTAATTTCTCTCATTGTTGCGCAAAACATTTGAAAAAATGAATTTGCACAATATGTATGACCGAAAATGGTGCTTTAGAGTTTGCTTTCGCGTAAAGTCCGAAATATATACACATATACACAACTTATATTCCGTGTATGTCTATGTCTGATGGGACTGTTCAGTATTGTCTGAATGTCAGAAAGTAGTATTGCAGGCACACGATATTTCTATTTTTGTTTAGCACTTTTAATGGGACTCTACAAGGAAACAGAACAAAATGGAGACCTGATTATAGTCATGACTTTTCCATGTATTTTAGTTCCTTCACTAATGGTACAGGGAGGTTTAAGGCACAGGTTGCCTTCAGTGGCTCTATAGGTTTGCTGCTTGATGGAATCATGACAAGAATACCGCAGTAGTATTGTTTAATAATCTTTTTTTTATTCCTGGGTGTTGGCACTACAGTAATTGTGTTTTGTGTTGTTTGTAATGCTTGTGCACTTTGTTATTGTCATCAATAAAGATGAAAGGTGGCCAAAAACGGGTCATGATTTATTGGAAAAGTCTCAACAATTTACAAAAGGGTCGGACCAGAGACAAACCCCCCCACACACCGACACACTGACCCAAATAAAAACAAATAATTCCTGGAGTGAAGTTTTTTAAGGTACACACGGTTGTTGTTTTTTGTGAAAGTACGCCATCTTGTGGGCTATGTTTCAAATAAACTTCATCAGCAAATCAGCCTGGACTACAATATATTATATTTTTATTGTACATTAAAATGTATTGGATTCGCGTTCCTTAACAGAATGTATAGAAAATGTAACTTTTTTTGTTGATTTTTTAAGCTATTTTTAGCTAATAACTGCTCACATACCTTTTTCAGTCTTATGGCACTGATTCTTAAACTTTATTTTTCTGCTACTATTACAACACAAGGACCAATTTATAACTTTTGTTCTGTTAATACTACATAATGGTTTGAACAGTTGTTTGTGACATAGATACTTTGGTCATAAGCGTATTTTTTTCTGCTAATATAACGGCTTTATTTATTTTAATAAACGTACTTAATAAACTGTGGTAATATTTATATTTTAATACTTTCTTAAAATAACTTGACATATTATCTGCGAATATTTCCACTTTATTCTTATGATCTTGTGCCTTCAAATGTAATGTTATTGTCATATTATCAGACTATTTTCTCATAGTACTAAAACTTTAATCTTATAAATGTATGACTTTTATTCGCTTTTGTAAAATAACTGTAGTTCAGGTAATATTGTGACGTAAATCTTATGAATTGGTGGCTTCTTTCTTATAAAGTTATATTAGAACATTATATTTATTTTTAGTTTTATGGACCTACAAATTTCATCTTGTAAATTTTTGACTTTACTCGCCTTAATGAAGAAATAAGAAAATATAAGAAAAATGTAGAGTTGGAAGTAGCAAATTAGTAAAAAGTATTAGGGGTGCACCCAAGAGCGACATTGTCCGGGTTGCCAAAACGGCTGTAGCCGGCCCTGGAAACCTCGCTGGAGGTGGAGCCTCCTGTGCAGCTCACGTTGTTTTCTTTCGTAAATCCTTTATGTACTCCCTCCTGGGCCTGCGTTGTCGGAATGTGCAATAGGTTAAAATGTTGAGGAAGTGAAATGACAGAACCACGGCGGTTCAACCTCAACCATTGCTCGTGTTTCCGCAGCCTGGACTGTCATGGCTCCACACCGAGTGTTCGCCCTGCCGAGACAGCAGTCTCTCCTCCTGCCTGCGGTCATCAACCCGTTCGTGCAGGACACTAAGCTGTCCAGAGCTACAGTTATTAAAGTGAGTATGGTGTCACTGCACTCTAATGATTCAGACTTTGAAGAATCGTCATCGAGAGTTGGTGTGAAATCCCTTTATCGCTGTGTAATCAGGGCCTCTAATCGTCTCCGTGAACGCTCTGACAATCGGCTTGTCATGCCTTGTTATGTGGAGCACAAACAATGAGAACTGTTGTGTGCCTTCTAGAAAAGCTGCCTGTGCTTTGCATGTATTTCCACACAGTGGTTCATTTTTCTGCTCTCTGTCAGAGACCGGGGCTGGAGTTGACTCTGACAGCACACTTCCCCATATGCTATAGGGCTCTGCTAATTTATGGTGAATCCACATATGTGATTCTGTCCATACAGTGTGTCCTCCTGGGAGTCTTCCTGGTCCCTGTCCGTGCAGTCCTGCTGTCCCTGGTCCTGATGGTGACATGGCCCGTGTCTGTCATAACAACCTTCCAGCATCCCCTGAAAGGAGCCGTGCGACCAATGACAGGCTGGAGACGGTAACCAGGAAACAAACACAGTCTCCCATTAAATTGGCCAGGCCTTGGGGACAGCATGTCCCAGGCTGGCAGCACAGGCCATCAGAAAATATTAGAGATGTCATACACACTTTACCAGCTACAGTAAAATACATATAACAAACACCAGGCTGCCTAAATGAACATAATGTAAAAATTACCATAGAAAAAACACTAGAGAACTATGGTTCGTAGAAAACAAGTTGTCACGCAGACCAGAGTTTCACAAACTACGGTACGTGTACCACTGATAGTACAGTATGTGGACTCCCTCTAGTGGTAAAAACATTGAATTTGCATTGAATTTGATAGGTGTTAAAAACAGATAAATATGTTTTTCATTCTGACATCATATCTGTATATTCATCTCAAATAACTGCAGTATTTCACCTAAGCAGGGTGTATCTTATTATTCAACTGTCAACCAGTCTGTACAAGTGACGCACGACCACGCCCTGTTTATGTGATCCTAACTATTTGTCTGCTTGAATATAACTCACTTTTATCTTAAAACTGACCACCCAGAGTTAACACTCTGGGTGGTCAGTGCATGAAAGTGTGGTTGTAGACTATAGAATTATGACATAATATATTAGTATATAGTATATTTTTTAGGGCCAAAAATGAAAGCTTGAAAGCTTGAAACCTTTGTCACAATCACAGTTTCCTAAATTCGAACAGTCATTTTGCCCTCTTTTCGATATGGTACTTATTTGGACCTTTTAGAAGGTTTTTTTTTATTATGAGGAAGTGATTGACAAAGGAAGTTTAGTAGTAAAATGCAGCACGAAAAGAACAAAATTACGCAACACTTCCTTTCAAGAAAACACTGATCAGACCTTTTTGATTAAAAAACATTTATTTCTTTTATAACTTGCCCTGCTCTCATTGTTTACAGTCCTATTTATATTAGAATCAGTATATAACCATGGAATTTAACCCTCTAAATTTGTTGTTTGTTTGTTTGTTTTTACCCAGGTTCATGTGTCAGAGGATAATGTCCGCCTTGGGCAGAGCCTACTTTTTCTGCCTGGGCTTCAGGGTGGTGGTCAAGGGGAAGCAGGTGTGCAGCAGCGAGGCTCCCATCCTGGTTGTAGGGCCCCACTCCTCCTTCTTTGATGGGATTGTGTGCATCATTGCAGGCCTTCCCTCCACTGTGTCCCGCACTGAGAACCTGGCTGTTCCTATATTTGGCAGTGAGACATTTTTTTATTATTCTTATTCAGGTTTCTTTCAGTCACAACCACTTACTGGACTGCTTTGATTTGAGGTTTTATTTTAAAAATGAGTTTTCCTGTTTGTTTTACAACAACCATCAACACTAGCTAAATTGTCAGACCTACATAACACATATATACATTAAATATGTTTTCTTTTTATTTAGAATTTTTTAGAAACCCACAATTTTACAAACTTTTTGGCCCCAAAAACACCATGTGGTCTTGTCAACTGGTGAATTAAGAAAATCTTTGTGCATTTCTATTCTAATACCAAAGATAAGAATTGACCAAATTATTATTTTTAAATTGAATTCTGGTTCCTTCTTTTCCTCCGTCTTTAGGGTTTGTGCGCTGCCTCCAGCCAGTGCTAGTTTCCAGAACGGACCCTGATTCAAGGAAAAACACAATCCGGGAGATTGAGAAGAGAGCCAAGTCAGGAGGACAGTGGCCACAGGTCATTGACAACACCCACATACACGACAACCTGCCGTCGCCTTACAATTGTGGTTTTCTCCCTTTAGTGCTTAATCCTTTTCCAGGGTTGTAGGGGGAACTGACAGGGCTACACCCTGGACGGTGTGCCAGTCCATCACAGGGTCACATACAGTGATAAATACACAGTAGTCAGTTTAGTGTTTCTACTTGACCAAATGATGCATGTATTTTTACTGAGAGAAAATCAGAGTCATGAACACGGGGAAGCCCTGCTTCAGTTACCACCTGGTAACTTACTGTAAGGCAAAAACATCACCCACTTCTTCACTGTCTGGCTCCAACTGCCATTATGTATAAGTAAAACAACACATGATGTAACACAGATAGAGTTTCCCAGCAGATGAAATCTAATTGGACGAGATGACCACTGGCTACAGTTCACCACAGCTGGGCTGTTTCAGCTGCAGCAGGACCACACTGGCTGTGTTGGATCACATGTCCACTTTTTATTTATGTTGGTTATAACTGAGCTTAAAATCAAAACAGACAGGTCACCTTAAGGAAAACTTAGGGTTGTTTGACTTTGATTTTTTGACTTTTGGTTGCTTGTCATGTTAATAATAATGCTTTGTTCCTCAGGTTCTGATCTTTCCAGAGGGGACGTGTACTAATCGCTCCTGTCTCATCACCTTTAAACAAGGTGTTGTACTACAATGTCTGGAGTGTTTTTGCAGCTCTGATGCACAGAAACTGTTTCCATTAATTTGAGAATTGCTTCTGTTGTATTTGCGCCACCTGCAGGGGCCTTTATCCCAGGAGTCCCTGTGCAGCCTGTACTTGTGAGATATCTGAACAAACTGGTGAGTTATTTTGGTCATTTCATTTTACTTCACATCCTAATTACAGTACACAAACCCAGTTTTGTAGCTGTATTTGACTGTGAAAATGGACTATTCATATTATTTTAGATAATTGTTATATAGATAATAATTTCTAGTTTTCTTCTTCAGGATACAATTTCTTGGACATGGCAGGGTTTTGGCTCGTAAGTGTGTCCTTTTTGCATTTTAAGTGATTTTTTATCCTATCAATAGTCTGTCTCTTTCTTAGAGACGACACCTCAGCCTTCTGCGAACACAGTTAGCTGACTCACTTCTTTTGTCTGCAGGATGACACTTCTGCTTCTCACTCTTTGTCAACTGTACACCACAGTAGAGATAGAGGTAACGTTTTTATCATGTTTTATTATGATGTTCAACATCGAGGTTTAGCGTTATAATTATTATTATCCAATCATTGTTATGTACTGTGTGCAGTCAACTGATAAAGATCTGTATTCTGCAGGAAGGGATTATTTTTCCACCACAAATGTTTTGGGAACATGTTTCCCCCCCCCCTTGCCCCTTTGCCTGACCTTTAATTTTTATCTGTTTGCTCAAATTTCCAGTTCCTTCCTCCACATATTCCCTCAGAGGAGGAAAAGAAAAGTCCGGCTGTGTTTGCCAGCAAAGTGAGGGAACGCATGGCACAGTGAGTTGAGACATGAGCGTTCTAATGATGGAGTACTGTTTAGAATGCAGATTAACAACAAAAATAAAAATACTGTATAGGTTAAAACTCATGGTGAATATAAAACACATATCTAGACGTGAGCTACATTTTCTAACAAGGAAATAAACTCACATTAACAGTCAATAGAAACTCCTAAATTAACACACATGAAGTTGAACATAAATGTAACAGAGTAATAGCAGAGTACCTAAGCAGAGTCATACTGTATATTAAACAATACTTTTTAATGCAGTTTTAATGTACAATGCATTTAACGTATACTTTTAGTCCGTTTCTTTCAAGCTGACACTGTCTGCATTCACTCTCTGCAGTGCTTTGGGCATCCCAGTGACAGACCACACATATGAGGACTGTCGCCTGATGATCTCTGCAGGAGAACTGACGTTACCCATGGAGGCCGGTCTGGTGGAGTTCACCAAAATAAACCGCAAACTGAAGTAAGAATGTCTCACCAAGTACTATGGCGGCATCAGATGGGCATTAACAGTAATATTCAAAAATATCATATCCTTCAGTCTAAAGTGGGACAACGTCAGGAAGGAGCTGGAAAGCTTCGCTGCCATGGCCGGTTCCTGTCACGGAGGACGCATCGGTATTGAGGAGTTTGCTAAATTCCTGAAGCTCCCCATTAACCCCGCCCTCAGGGAGCTGTTTGCCTTGTTTGATAGGGTGAGACACGACAGACTGTAGAGGAAGTATTGGATTTCGCTTAAAGAATTAATCATTTTTTGTGGATAAATCTTTGTATGGGCATCTGCTGTGCAACCAGGACAGTGAATAAGGGAGGGGGCCGTGTTGTGTCTTCAGGATTTATTAAGGGGAGGAGGAATGTACAGTATAATTAAAGCAGTTTGACCTCATCACATAGTCTTATACTTCAGAGCAGGAAAGTTGGGTGAAAGGACAAGAAGACATGAGTGAAGCACAGAAGGAATCCTGTTTTATTTTGGTGAAATGTTTGACAGTGATATGGAATTGTTATCTGTGAAATAATCAGGATTTTGTCACGAAGGACATTAGTACCTCTTCGTTAACAACCATGTAACTGTTTGAGGATAAAGGTTAAAAAGATAAAATACTTTATTTATCCTATTTATATGCAATCAATCAACATTTCTTGCTGTTTCCCCCCCGACTAGAATGGAGATGGTAGTATAGACTTCAGAGAGTATGTCATTGGTGTGACCATCCTGTGTCGACCAGCCAACACTGAAGACGTTCTTAGCATGGCTTTCAAGGTAACTACAAGTATTTTAGTTATCCTGTAAATATATAAAGAGATGTTTATAGTTTAAGTTGGCTCATGTAATTTAGCATTTCAAATTCTTGAAGACAGCTTTAGCCACTGGAATAAATCAAGAATTATTCAGATATTTAGTTACAGATTCCACTGAGAGATAATGTTAACCTGCAACCGGTATCTATTCTTATACACAGCACTGCTTTCACTGCTATTTGCCAAATAACAGGATCTGGGTTTACTTAGACAAGACTTTTTTTAGTTTTTAATCCACAATAAAACTGAAAACACATTTTAATCTTGCTTTGTTCTCTGTGATGAAGCTGTTTGACACGGACGAGGATGAGAAAATCACACGCGAGGAATTCACCGCTCTGCTCTACTCTGCTCTGGGTGTGTCAGATCTGAACATGGCCAAACTTTTCAAAGAGATTGATGCTGATGGCTCCGGTTACATCACATTCAGTGAGTTGACCTTAACTTCAGACACAGCTTCACGGGCAGTCTGCGTTTTTTTGCCTTATTTTACTTCATATTTCGGTTTTTCTACTTTAGGCTGCTCCCCTACTGCTTTTCCTTTTGTGTGTAATTCCACAGGTGAATTTCAAGCCTTCGCTTTGAACCACCCAGTATACGCCAAGCTGTTCACCACCTACCTGGAGCTTCAGAGATACCATGCGATCCAAGAGGCGCTGCCGGGAGATCTGGAACTCACTGGTCAGCTCGATTCAAAAGGAACGGAGGAAGAAAGCACCTCCGATAAGAAGGACGACTGAACCACTGACAAATGTTTAGACTAAAAGTAAAGGCAGAATCTTGCTTTAGTCACTTGCCACAGCAGAGCCCCAGCCTTGTAGGCTTTTCCATGACAGTGTACATTTTTAAAGTTTAGTGCCTTTTTAAATTCTGTTTCCATATAGCTCGGAAAAAGGTCATAGGTCCAACAATAGTTGTCATTTTTGTGTGCTATTGCAGAGTAACTGCATACGCTCCAGTGAACCTCCTAAACATTTTAGCTTTTATATTTTCTACCACTGTTGTGTTTTGTATCTTAACCAGATCACCACAGAACTGCTCAGCAGTTTTGTTTTGTTTTTATGTGGTTCTGTTGAATTGTTTTTAACTTTGCTTGAACTCAGTTGAAGCTAAATTTGTGATTCTTATCCCCTGCCTTTGTAGTTTCCTGTAAACCAAGTCTTAAAAGTTGCCAAAACATTGTAAGCAAAGAGACGTCGTACTAATGTATTACAGTGTGAATTGATGTACAGTAAGGTTTATTAAGATGTAAACAAACTGAGAACATGCAGTTTGTTCTGTTTCCTCCTTACATCTAGAGCACACGCTGCGTGTTACACTCCGTTTCTGGTGCTCAGGGACTTGGCGGTATAATTAGCCAAAGGTTTGCTTTGTATGTGCTTCTATTTGCATCTCACCAGAAGTTTGTTTTGCTGAGGCGGCAGTGCATCTATTCAGCCCGATGTTTATTAACACGAAGCAATCACTGGAATTAGGGCAATTTGTGAGCAAAAAGGCAGCAGCAGTTTCCACACACCGCCGTATACCAGCAGGGTATGATACCAGATAAACAAGCAGTACTGTGTTTGCAATTATGAGAGGGCAGTAATGTATTCTTTATTCTGTTGTTAATTCTGCCGGGTTTGCTTTTTAGAATAAAATCCAGTTTTATTTTGTGTTTGCTTGCGATTCCATATTCACCTCATTATCAAAATGATAAGGACTCTGCGTTTCTAGTGAGGCAAGTGTAATTGAATAAGATAAGGCGTAAACCTGTTTCTTCAAATCACCACCAGGTGCCAGTAGTCACCTTTTACTGTTCTCTCGCCAACCTTAGCTTTTCCGTTCTGCCTTGGTGTGCGTATGGTTAAACTTTCTGTTACTTCCTGGGTCCGTTAATCTAATTTCCACGGCCTAATTGGGCTCAACATAGTTTCTGAGGTCTCTGTAAAAGTACTAATAAATACTACTGTCCTTCACACCAGTCTTTTAAAGCGACACATGTAGAAAGTGAAAGATTACATTTAGGCTTAAACCCAGTAGCGAGATTGACACTGGTGCTGACCATGAACAGGTTAACGTGGTTAATGACACACATTATATAGTCATTAACGTAAACGTTAACAGCTGTGTCGGTGCTTTTAATTGCTCCTAAGCAAAGGTTTTAAAGCAGATTGAAGAGTCAAGTTCTTAAAATACAAATTCACAGACATTGAGTAGTATTTGGTCAAGGAACCTTTATGAAAACTTCCCTTCAGAGTTGGAAGATGCCCAGCAGTGCCTTCATCTCACAATGGTAAGTTAACCACTATTTTGGGAGTGTCCTTAATTAGCAGTTTAACAGGTTGTGGTTTTAGTTGTGGGTTTATATGAAGCATCCACCAAAGGCACAGCCAATGAGAAAGAGTTCAGGAAAGTCAGTAGAAAATGTCAGTGTGTAAAGGCCAGGAAAGGCAGAAAGTAATTACTAAAGAAAATTTGACCTATGGGCCCATTGATGGTATTGCATTAGATGCAATGTTACTGGAATGACTGTATCCACTGGGACTGCTGGACTGCTTCAGGAAGTCACTGTCACTTCACCCAGTGGCTATGAGAGTCGGTTTATTTCAATATGTAGTTTATGAAATCACACTAATCTGTATTCTACATCTTTGTTGAATTGAAGCAATAGCTATGAGTATGTCAATGTGGGAGAAGAGAGGCGACTCAAAGACGTCCTACAAAGGGGCAGAAAAAGTTTAGGAACCACAAGTTGGACCTCACCCACTGCTGCAACAAAAATGCTTCCTGTGACTGACATGCAGAGAGGCAGCCATACATCAATGTGGGCAGAGGCAACAGCATAGTCTTTTGGTCTAAGTAATTACGAGGCAGACTAAAACAATGTCAACTTTTTCTGTGTGAATGTATAAAAATGCTAATATAATCCTACATCCTACAAACAAGAAAAAAAATAATGCAATCAGAAAGACCACTTCTGTGATGCTTAAGGATTTGGAAAGTGGGAAGGGCCCCCCCCCCCCCCCCTCTTTTTTTAACTAGAAAGTAACTTTTCAGAGCATGAACACCAGGCCTCACCTTACTGGCCTACCTGCAGTCCAGGTTGATTGATAAGTTCACTATCATCAACAGTGAGCACAGGCAGCTGAAGTCTGTAATCCCTGTAATGTTCCATTTGAAAACTGCATTGCAAGAACATAGATGTTTGTGCTTTCTCTCCCTCCCCCTCTCTCTCTCTCTCTCTTACACACACACACACACACAGAGAGAAATCAAAATGTGCAATCCCACTCCATCTGCACAGAGGTGGTTGAAATGACTGATGGAAAGCGACTCACTTCATTAAAAGCTCGCTGTTGGACAAAGCTGTGATTACCAGCTGTTTTATTTTACCTTCAATTTGTTTTAACCTTTTCAAATGTGCAGAGCCTCATTTCTTTTTAATCAAAATTGATGAGAAAGCCATGGAATCAATTAAGTTGCTTTCAACATTGACACCTTCCCCACCCAAACACACTCTCCTCTCTGAGTCTCACACCCTCCCATCTGGCCTTTTTCTTCTGCATGGCTGTTTTATATTGGAATATCCATTTCAGCCACCGCCTCAGGTCGGGTCCTGTCACAGCAGATCGTTGAAGATACGTGATGGTAATCTGATTTGTTCTCCATAGGACCTGAGTGAGGGAGTGAGCGGGCTCTTGTCTTTGGACCAAGGCTGGACAGAGGTCTTGTATGAATGTGGATCTGGTAGTGCCAGGAAGAGAGTAAAGGTCAGAATTGACAGTCATGGCTGTTAGGTTAATGTGACACTAACATGTGTCTCGGTTTGTCCTGAGGCAAAGTAAGTTGGAGGTCTTTTAATTAAATCAAAATTATTTATTAAACACATTTAAAAATAATACTGAACATTGTACAACAGCAGGACCCTTCTGTGTCTGTCCATTTTACGACCAAAACGAGTGGAAATGCTTAGTGTTTGTTAGCGTGTTTTGGATTATTATGAAAGGGAAAACATAATTATTTTGGACTTTATGTTCTCATAGAATAGAATTTCCTTCTAATAACAGGATACACGACTGTGTTTATACACTCCCATGAAGCGGCCCTCCTCTGTCTTGCAGGATGGACATGTATGTAAATCTTTACACTGGCAGCACAATGTGTGTTATTTACAGTGCATATTTGTAAGGTTCAGTGTCAGCACCAAAGGGCTGCTGGGTAGTTTAAGTTATTTTTTTGTTTCATAAATAGCTTTTTCTTTTATATATATATATATATATACACTGTCGTTCAAAAATATGTCTGTTATTATAGATGTAAATCTGTTCAAGTCATCAAGGTTAATTCATTGGTGTATTACCTCCATAGACTCCATAGATATTTACACATGGGCTTGTGCGTCAAGCGCTTGCTAACACACCCTCATGCAACACATCACCTTTGACTGTTTCAGGATTGAGTCGGGCAGGTTGTCTTCCACACCTTCAGGGAGTTCCTCTAAATTTCATTGTTACATTTCCTTATGGCACCAGATGACACCTTGTTGATTTTCTGCCTCCTATTATTCTCTCTGGAAAGTGATTGTTCTCCATTTCCCTTGTGATGATTTGTATGAACAGTAAGGTCCTGTTGAGGGCAAAGTTGGAAAACCTTGTAAAAGTCAGCAGTTTGCCAACAGTATCTGCTGCACTGCTATGTTTTCTTTGAGTGTTTAGGGTGTTGCAGGTCTGTGTTTGATCCTGTGCCAGATGGCCTTCAAGAAAAAGACTGGTCTGTGGAAGGCAGGTAAGAACAAATTTCTAGGCCGCCTGTGTGAAGATGAGATGCATGAGATATGATGCAATGCGATGCTATACCAAAAGAAAGAAAATTGTCTGGTTTGACGCCCCATCTTTCTGTATGAATTGTGTGAACTCACTCAGTTTAGTGAGTGGTGGTGAACTGTCCAGGGTGTAACCTCAACCCTCAGCCAATAACCAATCACTGGGACCCTGAAAAGAATAAGGTGATAGACGAAGAAGATTTGTCCTCCCGACTTGAATCTGCTGTCATTCTCTTTGGGTAATTTTCTCTCTGAGTAAGGGACAAACACCAAAAAGCACAATCCAGGTAAACTGATCTGGTTGTACCTTGTTTATTGACTGGCTGTAGTCCCTGAAAGGTTTAGGCAGTAGAAAATGATTCTAGATCAGGTAGAACTTTATTAATCAAAAAAATAATAAAATGCTTATGTTTCTCAGAACATTTTAGATTTTTATTGTGAATAATGAAAACCCCTAAAATGGAATTGAAAGTAGAAGTGAGTACCTTTTTAAATCTCATCCCTAGACTTTCTGAAGAACTGTGAATCTGTCACAGCCTATTGTTTTTCAAGTACTCCCAACTCGGTCACCAGTAACCATCCTACCACTCCCCTCCTTTCGTGGACCCTAATTACTACCCACTGTTTAACCTTAACCCGCCTACACCCCATATTGTTTCTCATGTTCCACTCATGTGGACCTTTTGAGATTTGGACCTTTTGGGAAATAAATCCTTAGGTGTACAATGAAGGATGAATGGTAGCAGGTTATTATTGTAAAAACAGGACAGGACAATTACATGGCATTCCTACATGTTTGTTTTGGAGGACTGTCTTTGTGTTCATAGGAGCACAAGGTGAGTTAAGATGTGAGAGGTCACCTTTCTGTTTCGTTCTTCTTGTTGGTGTTCACATGCCACATTAGCAGTATGATGGGACTTAAGTATGAGGTGTCCTTCTCAGCAGTTGTTTTAGTGTAGACATGAACAACATACTGTAGAAAATGCTTCAGTCCAGGAGTCTGTGAGACAAATTGCCGTAGCTGGACATCTTCATCGTCTGCACTCCTCTGGTTTGAAGTGTGCATGGAGAACAAGACTTAACATTTCTGTGCTTCTTAAATCTTTTCAGATACCAGTAAGCCCAAAGAGAATCCTAAAGACACCGTGCCTTCATTAGGATGAGAGGGATTTAAACCATAGGGTTTAGAAACTCAAAGCTAATGCCAGTGCCTAATTATCCTGTCACAGTGACCTGCTGTTTTCCATTTAAGGGATGTCAACTGATTTGACATTTTTAGTACCACTTTTACTTAACCAAGCCTCACATATTATAGACCGTCTGAAAGCATTGTTGATCGCATGATAAATGAATGTAACTGAAGTTGTGCTGAGCCTAAAGCCCCGAGGTCAATTAGGTGAAAGGTCACAATGGAGCTTGTGCATGTGTTTAAGTGAATAAATGACCAAATGCTTAGGTCAAAACCTTAAGGGGCAAACGGCGAGTGTATAAAGCTCCGTTAGGTTTTGTTGTCACCCCAATGCTGACATACTGGACCACAAACTCTGAGACGAGTAGGACTTGAGGTCAATGGAACTAGTTTCATGTTTAAATGACCAAAATCCAAAAACATATAAGGGGTTTGTTTTTTTGTTTTTTTGTGCCAAAAGTATTTATGTATATGTGTGAATATAGAGTCCTGATGAAGTGAATAAGTTATGGTTTCAAATTCAACAACCTGTATTTTCAACCATAGGTCATATTATACAGTACCTGCACTGATTATCCTGATCCCATCCAATTATAAAAGTTGTTTGAAAGTACAACTGAACAAGACAAAGAATGTATTATCACAATCAGAAACCTGTGCAAAAGAAACTAATTGAGGCCAAAACATCACCTTTACACCTTCATCTTTTTTTAACTCAACCATCAATGGAGTATTTCAATCTTTACGAACGAAGCGCCCAAATCCAGCCCTATTAGGGTTTTACAAAACAAGTAGCGGAGAGCAAACAGGACATTCATCGACTTTAATGGGATGAACTGATCAACCATATCTAATAGAAATCATTGCCCATGGCAAAAGCTGGTGTGGAATTGAATTACACATGGAACACAATGCTTTTACCGCTTCTTAGAAAACTGTAATCCAATCTTATCAGAACAGAGTAGAAACAGACAAAGTCCAAATTAAAAAAAAAAAAGTTTCTTGCTGCACATGTAATTCAAACACACAAACGTGGGGGGGTCCTCACGTGTCCACAGGTCTCCCAGGACCCATCTGAAAAATATGCACATCGTGTCTTTGTTCCACTATTTCTAAAATGTAAAAAATATCAGCTATAAGTAAATAGTACGTATTGTTTCAGTCTGCTTAAAATATTTGAATTAGGGAAAGGCTAGTGAAAGCACTTAACATGCCATCGCCCTTTACTCCAACCCCTGCTCTGAAGAAGTCTGTCAAGTCAAACAGCGAAAGTGTACATTTATGGGTGCAGCAGCTCTGAGACTAAAAGCGTTCATACCAGGTCACCATCAAACCACGGAGTATGTGTTCAATTAAAAAATATCACGTGGAGGACTGGCGGAGGGGCACAGCGATTTAAAAGCTCCCAGTTTATATTTTCACTGCAGGAGAAGGCGAGTCTTAAAAGTTCCTTCAGGATGGGCTGTCGTGCCTCAGACGCGCCTGGACAACAGCAGCGTCGGGTCATGGAGAGATGTCCGTAGATCTACCAAGTACGGAGCAGAGTTTTTACCTGATGCACAGTGACTTTAAATTGTTTAACAACAGTTTCACATACAGATTAGCAGTTATCTCTCTGGTCATCCTTACGGCTAATGTTTTATGTGCTAATTGGATTCGGTGGACCCGCTCCACACACGGTGCGCTGCGCACAGTGACGCAGAGAGAGGACTTGACACCTGCTACTGCTGTGCATCACACCACAGACACGATGTTACAGTCTGACTGCAGCACCAGGTTAACTGCAGAGAAAATATTTATCTGCTGTGCGACAAATATGGTCACAGAGTCTCCACCAGCAGCCCCGACTAATTTTCCATGCTTTGCGTAACTGTCTTGAAACTTTACGCACAAACACCAAACCTATCCAAACTCTGTTTTCTCTCCCTTCCTCTCCAGCCCATGCACGTGAAGGTTTCTGCTGAGAACGCTCCTTTCTCTGGGTTTGGTCAGCGAGATTCCAGCCCTCTTCCAGGCTCCAGGACCAAGACGTCCGTCACCTCCGGCAGAACGCACACGGGGCCGTGTTATCACCGGGCCAGCGTGGGCTTTTACGCACCGCAGAGAAAATGAATATCCAAGCTCTGCCAGAGCACAAGCTGTCGTCCGTGGCTCCGCTGAAACAGTGTAACGTGGAGAAGAAGGAGGTAGAACTGATACTGGTGAAGGACCAGAATGGCGTTCAGTACACCAGTTCTTCCATCATTCCTTCGCCCGTCTGCGGCGCAGCTCCGTCCGGACCTGGCTCCGAGGTCGAACGGGAAACGTGGGGCAAGAAAATAGACTTTCTTCTGTCTGTCATTGGCTTCGCCGTGGATCTGGCAAATGTTTGGAGATTCCCCTATTTATGCTACAAAAACGGAGGAGGTGAGTAGACTGTTTCTGATCGATCATTTCTTATCGATCCTTAAATCTAAAAGTGGGTTCACAAAAATTGCCAAGTCCTGCTTGGCAGGTTCTTTTTCTATTTTGTATTTTCCTTTTAAACTTACTACATTTGTCTACTGTCATTTAATAGATTGGCTGTCGTTTGTTTATTTTGTTTTCTCAAAAGGTACTGAAGGAGTGTAAGACTACAGAAATATATCTAATATATGTCAATATATACTAACATCTCCAGGCAATATATACACTTTTTACGTTCAATTGTATTTAAGTTTATTCCATAAATTGTTTACCAGATTATCCACATGGCCTTTTTCCTTTTTAATCAGTTCTTGAAATAAATGGGAATAGTGTGGAGAGATTTCACAAAATGTATTGACTTTTTGTTTCCATATCCATCATGATGCTTTAGGAATCAGTAACCGCTTGGGAAATGCTTCTTTTTTTCAGTACTGAAACCTTAGATTAGATTCACAGCTTTGTTGTGAAAGAAAACAAATGTTTGATATTTACATGTGTTCATTTTGATAATAAAAATTTAAATTCCTGTGCCTATAGTCCTAATAGAGGTTGATCTCTACCATCAGCCTGTTGGCCCCCCAGCATAACCTATCTATCTATCTATAACCGTGATCAATGTGTCAGTTTTGATAGACAGTGTCAAGAACAATTTCACCAGGAAATGACATTTCCTTGTTGCGGATGTGTGAGTGAAGGGAAGCATAAAAATAGCTGATAGTTTTCCTGTTAGTATGTGCACTTTTTAGAATCTCAAGAAAGAAATTATGAAATGTCCCTTTTTTTCAGGTGCCTTTTTGATCCCCTACACCCTGTTCTTGGTCATTGCGGGGATGCCATTGTTCTATATGGAGCTCGCCTTGGGCCAGTATAACAGGGAAGGAGCAGCGACAGTCTGGAAGATATGCCCCGTCTTTAAAGGTGAAGTGTTGTTCAAACCTGCACTGAACACACACACTCGTACACACTCACACACACGAACATGTTAAGATGCATTATGTCATTTTTGTTTTTCTGATGAGTTCTATAAAACCTGAAAAAATAAGTGACCAATTTTGTCAACTTCCTGAAAAGGCCTTGGTTAATCTTCAAACTATTCCTCATCTCAGCTTTTCCAAACATTGTGAATGAATGCAACAGGTCAAACCAGGGTGAGAAAACTATTCACTTCACAGCCCGTGCTGAGGTTTCATATTTGACAGGCGGCCCGAGTCACCGCGGGATGGATGGAAAACATTTGCATGAACTAATATGAATAAAATGCACAAAACCAAACTTTAGAGTAAAAGACAACTTACAAGTGAACCGCCTTGCAGGGCCGTATCACACATGAGACAGACACACAGAGTCTGGTCATTTTTCCACTAGTGGCATCAACTCAAATCAGACAATCACAGTTGTAGATGCAGTGCAGAAAAGAGTCGACCTGAAACCTGTCTTTATCACACGATGAAACGCTGTACTAGTGGTGGATTAGAAGGCCGAGCGGTCCGTATCCTGCCTGCAGGCCATAGTTTGACTTACCTGTGTTAATGGTTAAGTGCATGCACAAACCGTCAACCACTGTCTTCATAGGGCAATATTGCTTTTCTGCTAACAGTCTGCACAGCCCCCCTCCCAGTCCCTCCCATGAAACTACCAGCTAACCAAATGTGCGTGTGACCTCAGAGCAGCTCTTCAGTTTCCAGTTTCCATTCGTTTTTGCCACTGGATTTGTACCTTTTTCAGACCTCGTTCAGGATTCAGGATTTTAGGCTCCTCAGTCTCAGTCCTCTGTAGTGAAATGTACAAATGTAAGGCACAACTGTAGAAAAGAACACGGTCCAATACAGGAGGAGGACGAGCAAGGGGTTTTGGTGTCTTTTGCGGAAACTTGTCTGCAAAAATGTGGTACAAAGTTTTTGGAAAAAAAACTTTATCTACTCTCTACGTAAGACATGACCTTTTTACACTTTGTGTGTCATGATTTGTTGATGTAGACCTGTCAGGCAACCTGTCTGCACCAGGCACCACCACGTCGATAGTACCTGCCTTGTGTACGGAGGGTTTCTCCCCGGAATTTGTTTGTAATAAGTTTACAGCTTATCTCTCCGTTTTTCTTACGAAGGTGTTTACTCTGTGTAATACTGCTGAAGGGCAGGTTTATTGGTTGGAGTCATGCAACTGTCATTCAATTAATTTGGTATAAAATACCATGCCAGGTCATGCTGAGAGGTTTGGAATCAGCCTTGAATTGACATTGATTGAATTCTAATAGTAAGCTGCAGTTCATTTCTAATAAAGCCCGGAGTACGTAGTCCAAACCTGAGATTTTAAATTGCCCACAGGAAATGAAAGGAGCAGTATTCATCACCAGGGAGAGAATCTTTTTGTCAGATTTTTCTAGTTTTTTTCCCCCTTTTTTTGCAAATGAGCTATATGTGCTTACCAATGGAAAATAGATCCTCCAGGTGCTGCAACAGGATGCAGAACTGCATTGGAGGAAAATGTTATTCAAATAATATAATAGCTTTATGACGACAGTCATATTATATTAAATATGTTGTACATTTATTTAACACAATGGTGTTTAAGGTCACCCAGGTCACCATCCAGGCCAACACCCAGGTCACCATTTGTTACATCTCATTGTTCTCCAAATGTAGCTGTTAAACTAACATTGATTAACAGAACATCAATTTACACAACAAACAATTAACACAACAATCAGGTTTAAGTTTTAAGTTTAATGCTGTACCAGAGTACTCAACTACTACTACTTTGTCTGTCTGACAGTATAACAATATGACACCAATCTTGTTTTTTCCGGCAGGTGTGGGCTACACCGTGATTGTCATAGCCCTGTATGTAGGTTTCTACTACAACGTGATCATCGCCTGGTCTCTTCATTACCTGTTCTCCTCCATGACCAAAGAGCTGCCGTGGCTGAAATGTGGGAACAGCTGGAACAGTCCGAACTGCACCGACCCTGAAACCATTAAAGGATCCACCCTGGGAAATGGAACCTCTTATGCCAAGTACAAAATCACCCCAGCAGCAGAGTACTATGAGTAAGTTAAAAAAAAAACAGCTTAGTTTATTATCTGCTCAGTTTATAACAGGGTCCATTTTATTATATTATATTGACGAGAAATGTTAAAATCATTAGTCTTTAATTAACTCTTTAGTACTTATATCAGCATATGTCTAAACTAAAACTTTAGGCAGGATGAGTGAGTCCAGTCGGCTCATGTGTTAGTTGACAACAATAACAATAACAAGTGTCTTCTTCTGTTGAAAATATCTCTTGGAACTTGGACTGTGCCAAGTGCAGCTGGAAGAGAAAAAGGTTCTGCATCACTTCACATTTTTACTGGGTTGTGTTTGTAAGTGTTTGATTGGGTTGCTAGTGCTACATCTTTTTTTTACGCACAACACTCCCATCACGCTTGACGTAAGAAGCAGCAGTGTTTAAAGGTAGTAAATGAAAGATAATGCAGAGGAAACAGAACACCTAACAGGCAATCATCTGATGTTGGCAGCTGCATATAATATAATATAATATAATATAATATAATATAATATGACATTGATATTGGCAGCTGTCATCTTTCATTATATTAATTATTCATACGCATAGAAGTTAAAACAACACTGACAAAATATTAGAGACAATACTGCAGTATATACATGTATCTGAAGACACAATACTATGCAACAGAATCAAACAGTGTTTTAGTTTTATCATACATTCACACATTTATGTGTATTTAAATTATTATTATTATATTTATTTAATTGATTAAATACAAATGTGACATCTTGCGTCCATACAAAATACCAACTGCATGACTGAGCTGCTAAATATTAAATTTGATTATGTTTTTGTTACATATAACAGAGACTTTATTTTACAAGGAAGTCCTAGGAGATAAAGTGGTTTGAAGGAAAGAAAAATCTTGCAAATACATGATCGTACAGTCACCGTAAAACATGCATTCATTCATGAAACATTAACATGAGGATTGTCAGAGATCAAACCTAAGGCTTCCCTCATCTACATGTCAATGTGTCCCTGGGAAACATACCTGACGTTAGCCTGCTCCTGGGCTCTGTGCTCTAATATGAAACGAATGTAAAGAATGAACGGTCATTAAAAGTAAAGCAGACAGTTTGTTGATGCGTAACCCCTTGTCAAGCTGAAGCAGTGTACACAGTAATTAGCACGTGGGCACTGCTCATGCATCAAAGTCACTTAAACGGCTTAAAAATAGAGTTTTTTAAAAGAAAACAAAACACGTTAATTAACATTGACTCAGAGAACTGTGCAATTTTTGAGTCAAGCTGTCCATCAAATATCAATCCACCGACTGCTTCACCAGAGAAATCGCCCCTTAACTAAATATGTCCAGAGTTTTTGTAGAATTACTATTACTAAAATATTTAACATGTTCTTTAATAATAATAATAATAATAATAATAACATGTTCTTTATTAGGCTGTTAGGTTTTTGTTTTTTCTTTATTATTTTTATATTGTGTACACAGTATGTGATGCTGGCTCTATGTCCATGGAGCGAGCATCAATAGATACCAATGGTCTTTTAAGATAATCTGGCCACGAACCTGAGCTCTGTCAAAGGTGTATACATAAAGAGTTCAAATGTTCTCTTTGAAGTGTGTACAAAAAAGCCCCTTCTGTTTATACTGCACTTCAAAGATGGAGCGCTTCTGTGAAGCTTGACTGTGCAGCCCAAAAGGAAGTCCGTGAAGTGACTTGGACAATACAAGACACATGCAGAGTATGAGTCACTGAATACACTGAGCATGAAACCCGGGCCAGTAATCGGGCTTGCTAATGTTCCACTCCCATTCTGTGGGGCAGTGGACATTTTTCTGCACACATGGTTATTTAATCAGGATCTGTAGGATCTCAGGACTGACGTCTGTCAGAAACAAAGGAACCTTCATGAAAATCAATTCAATCAAACTCATCAGCATTACTAATGCAATAACGTTTGAATGTGTCATTAATATGATCCAAAATGAAGACACTCCTTCTTCCGCTGCTGTCTTTAAAACACATCATTAGATGGTTACAGACACACTGGCAGCATCAAGACCCTTAAAGGCAGATCTTGGAGGCTCTGTAGGGTTTGATAAATCCTCTCTCTCCATGCAGTAAGCTCTGAGTACAGGAGCAATGCCAAGGCACAGCGTGAGGGAGTGAAGCCAACTGAGTAAACAGTTCTCTTCCTTCACCCCTCGCACTCTAGTAACACCAACTGTATCATGAAACATCACTGTAACACTGTGCTACGGCTATGATAGAACACATACACTTACCGTAATGACTATAATATGGGGGTCTACCATTTTAATTATCTATTTCAGGTGATTTAATTCAGTTTATTCCCACAAAGGTATAAAAGCGAGTATGTACAGAAGGATCTGTTATTGAGTACTAGAAACCACACCATCGTAAGGCAGGCATTAAAGTCAGGCGTACAACACCAAGTATTAGATCAGCGTTGTAGTAGTAGTACCCAACCACCGGACTCTCCACCAGGTCCTGGGGAGTAGTGTAAATATTTGTCTTTTTTAATTTTATTTTCATGATCTGACCAACTGATGTCTGTTTTGCCAGCGCTAATAAAATGAACCCTCAACATATTTTAGTGCATAACACACAAAGAACATTTCATGATTGGATTATAAACATCTTGTTTGTCAGTTTCTCGATTAATGGTGATAAATCTTGAGCCCTGACGATTTATCAGATTTTGTTTTTTTTATCAGTAGAACTTTTTCCATTTCCATAACAATTTGTTTTGTGGTAACCTTTAAAAAAAGAATGTACTGCTACAAGAGAGATGGAAAAAAAACCCAAATGAAGAACGAGAACTGGAAATACAAGGTTAAAGGTTAAGAAGGAATTCTATGAGGGAAGTGATTTATTTAGCAGTGACATAGAGAACTAGTTTTGTTGGGGTTTTTTAAATATTTTTTATTTAAAATTTAACAACTTACCCTTTAATGTCCACCTCAGCTCCTACAAATAAAAATATACATATAAAAAAACTCAGAGAAGGGATTGCAGGATTCTTTACTCAACAGGCAGCACAGATAAACATTTTGGGAAATTCTTAAACAAACACACTTCTTTGTCTAATTGAGCAAATGAGTTAATGTGGAAGAAGGATTGGGGTTCAGAGAGTGTCGTAGCAGCTACTTCTATCACATGTGTCTGGCACAGCCAGGGACAAATAGACTTGAATAATTGCTGTCATTTACACTACAAGATCTAATGACATGGGCACGTGAGAAGATTGATTTGACTTCAGCTTTACATCCGTACTGCACTGACAAGACCTAAAACCAAAGAGGATCATTTGTAATCGAAGCCCACCACAAAACCTTTTCTATTACACTATCATTATTCTGATTATTTTCTGTTATAGCTTTGTGTTGTAACCAGAGAAAGACCTCTGTCAGCATCTGATACTGTTCACAAAGGGCAAGTGATGGCAGCTGGGTTTTTTGTTTTTTTTTTTTGAGGAGTAAATGTTTTTAGTTTAACTGGGCCAAAGGGACTGGACTGATGTGATAATGAGCAGTTACTGGAAGTGCACTATCAATTCCATCAGATGAACAAGGAGACCTTAGGGAAAATCAACACAACACAGGACCATACTTTTTGTCAGCCTCTCCAGGGACTGTATAACTATTTAGTATAACACACCATCATCAGCCAAAGTGAACACCACAGGTTGTCCCATGGTTGGAATCTTCTGGTCCTTGGTCCTTGACATGTGCATATGTGTGGACGTATTTCAGGCTGTGTGTGTGTCGCAGTGTTTTGTGTTTTGACTGATTACGGAAGCAACCTAAACACCAGATGCTAATCTTTTAGATGACGTGCCAACATTTTTTTTTCTAATTTTTCCTTGCTGACATCACAGATGAATCATAATGAGAACAATGAGTGGCTTTAAATGGTCTGTGGCAGGAGACTGGTATCCAAAAAGTGCAACTTACTGCAGATGTTTCTCAGTTTCTTTAGTCAGAAACACACTGTCTCATGTTAATTTCATTGGTTTTGCTGAGCACTATGGAAATGTTGGCCAATACAGGGATGAACTATTTGAATAAGTTGAGATTGAAGCCTTCAATGTAGAACAAAAAAAATGAGCAGAATTTAAAGACTGACTCTGAATGTCATCAAAAGACAAAAGACATGTTACATATTTTAATGTTGGTGCATATTTTAAAGTTAGAAAGTTAAACAACTTTTCCTTAAATATGTGTTCATATGAGGAATGGCCTTTGCAGCCCGGCCTCCATTGTAAAGTTTGAATTCGGGCTTCCTTCCTTGTACTGACGACTGAGAAATGACCTTGCAGCAAGAAACAATCTCACAGTGCAGCCTATTGTCTCCCCTCGTCTCATTATGGCATAATAAAGTGCTTGAGCTTTTGAACTCCCGTCAATGATCTGACACTCCGTGTTTGGCTTGAGGACGGCTGATAACAGCGAAACAAACCCAGAGGTCATTAGTGACAGTTGTAAAGCATCTCAGTGGAGTGGTCCATTTGTTTTATGATGACAAACAGCTGTTTCATTTGCCAACATTCACTTCTAACAAATAGGCCTTTAAATTAGGAACACGTCTTTTCTACGACACTCCTCTCAGTTCAGCACAGTGGACGATGTCCCTAAGTCTCTGTCTTTTAGAGTGTCTCACCTCACCTGAAGCACCGTAGTCTTGGTTGTTTTCTCAACACTGTCCCAACTGCTTTGACAAAAAAACAAAAACACATTTAATATAAGAATGATGTCTGTCTGGTGCGTATGATACATAGATGTTTAACATGATGAATGATGTCTGTCTGGTGCGTATGATAGATGTTTAACATGACATTCCGTGCAGGCGTGGTGTGCTGCATCTCCACGAGAGTCAGGGCATCAATGACCTGGGAATGCCTCGCTGGGATCTTTCATTATGTCTGATCGTGGTGGTCTTCATTCTCTTCTTCAGTCTGTGGAAAGGTGTCAAGTCCTCGGGAAAGGTATGGAGCCTTATACTGTGACTGACAGTGGTCTGTGAGCTCAGCACAATTTTCTATTTTTTATATTGTGGGGACCCTGGTTAATGCCTTTATCTGTCTTTGTATATATTCAGGTGGTGTACATCACAGCTACCATGCCTTATGTGGTCCTCTTCGTGTTACTGATCCGAGGAATAACCCTGCCAGGCGCCGTGGACGGAATCAAGGCCTACCTTCATATTGATTTTAAGCGGCTCAACAATTTGGAGGTGAGGCTGGTTGAGATTTTGCGCAGCAGATTATTCATTTGTCATAGCTATAATATTATACTTTCACTATGAAATCCCAAATTTTAGTCTAGGATGCAGCCTCAGATTGGTTATTGTTTGACATCTGGACAGGTTTTCACTCACGCTCAGGGCTTCGGTGAGACCCTGAGACACTTACGTCAGAGTGTGTTTTAGATTTAGAGAGCCCTTTTTTTCTGTTAAACTCATTAATTGGGTGGAGTGTGCATTAGAGAGCCCTTTTTTTCTGTTAAACTTAAAATTAATTGGGTGGAGTGTGCGGAGCACAGAGGGTTAGCGGCCGGATTCCAGTTGGTGCCTTTAATACTGAGCGTTTGTATATGAATGAATGGGCTCTACACACACACGCTAAAGATACCATCTCCCAGTTACTAAGCTGATGCACGTGTCAGGGTTAAGAAAAGGTTCACATGTGTCACAGGGACTTTTTTAACACTACACTTAGTTGTGTACCTACAAATAATTAATATTGTGCGAACAGAACTGTGGGCACACACAGCATATCACTGAAACTTAGCCTCGGTGACAGCTTTGGGTCAAAAGATTAGCCAGATTAGCGATTAGTACTAACACAGTTTTTTCAGGTTATCATGAAAACACAATTACCTTAAAGGCAAAACATTTTTAGATATTACTTTTTGCAGCTTGGTAATTGGTAATATTATAGGCTGCCACTGCCTCACCAAAGACAATTCTAGATAATAAAAACACCAACTCTAGTTTTTTTATATATATATAAATGTTAAGTGTGTGTTGATGCAGTATCATGGCAGCTGTTTGCACAACGTCCCCTTCTCTACGATATAAGGCTCAACCGCAGTCTTCTTAAATGTTAATTGAGTAATGAACTTAGCCCAGAGCAGTTTGTTGTTCGGCGTATGGAGTCTTTGCTCCGAGAAGCAGACGCACACAGACACATCCACGCCTGCAGCTCCCTGCAAAGAGGAGGCTCAGTCCAAACATAATTGCTAAGTCTGACTTTGGGTTAAATTACAAGGGATCTAAGGGCAGCCTGGCCCCTCTGTAAATAAAGAGTCAATTGAGAAGAAGCTCTTAAAACAGTCTGCCTTCAGGTGAAAAGGGGAAACAGTTTTTAAATAGAAAAAGATTTAGTCACTTTGGTCATTCACTGATCAGTTTTAAATTAATGTGATTTTAGAAAATTTACAAAAATTTATGTTTCTATCATTTGTTTCAAATAGGTTTTTTTCTTTTTTCTCTCTGTAGTTAAGGTATAGGTATTAGTGTGAGAGTTAATGGACTGGTCAACTGTCCAGATTAATGACCGCTCCAGCATTAATTAATGTGTGTATTACACATGCTTCTTTCAAGAATATCTAATCAAAATAATAATAACAAATAATTTGAAAATGTTTTCTAGAGAGTTTTCTTTGACCCATCTTTTGTTTTTGTTTTTTTTCTAACAGGTGTGGATTGATGCTGCCACTCAGATATTTTATTCACTAGGAGCAGGTTTCGGAGTCCTGATCGCATTTGCTAGTTACAACAAATTTGACAACAACTGCTACAGGTAAGTATTAATATTAATGTTGAATTAATATTCATATTTTTCACGTAAACAGAAACAGGGGTGTAAAGCAACATTTGGATTAAAATACTTGTCTAAATATATACGAGAAATAAAAATAAATAAAAAAAAACAATTACTCAGGTGTAGACGTAAACTGAGGTATATAAACATCTTAAGATCTTAAAGCCAAAGGCTTTTCGCTGACTGGTTCTCTGTTTTGTGTCAACAGTTCAGTGTAAAACAATAACATAATAAAGTGTTGGATATTTTTTTATATTACAATCTGCAAAAAGACACATTTTATTGTAATAAATGATGTAAATACATTGTCCTGCAGTGGAACCTAAAGTTTCTTGAGCACTCCTGTGTTTTGAGGAGAGACAAAAGGCAGTTCTCCAAATTACAACAGTGTCACATTTAATGGCTCCTTTTTACAGCCTTTTAGGACAGAGACATCTTTAGTCAATGGTGCTCCACGGTGACTTTTATGACCTGCTGCAAACCTGATGCAGAGCCAGATCTCAGCTCCTGACAGCAGTAATCCAGGTCCTTCCCTCATGGGCGTTGGCCTCTACCTCGCTCACTAGTCAGATGAATACCCTGTAACTATTGTCTTAAAAACGACTCTCTCCGGTACACTGGGTATTTTCTTTCGTCTGATCCTTAAATGCCACCAACTCCACTACTCATTCTCTATGGAATTCTGTGGATATGGAACATTTGTAATCTAAAAATGTGATGATGAATCTTGCATCACTGTACAGTACAGTAAAAACTGTATTTGGCATTTTATTGAAAACTATTTTTTGTAAATATATCTGATTGCTAACTAAATTGAAATGTTTCTGAAGACTAAAAACGATGTCACAGCTGTGTTTAACAGTGGATGTTGTCGGGTAAATACTTTTATCTACTGTATCTTATCTCATGTTAATTTAAATGAAATGATAACTCCTGGAAAAGAATACAACAAGAACATGAAGTTCTGAGAAATTAGGAAAAGCTAACAGTGACATTTGCACTTCCTGTGAGGCGGGGGGGGGGCGGCCATAGATGTGTGACAACAACAGCACCGGTCATTAGTCATAATAAATCCATTAACCGGGTTCAGAATAGTGAAGCTGCTAATAAACCTGTATCTCCGCTGAGACAGACAGGAACTGACTGTTTCACAGGTGACACATACAGTGTGTGTTAACGTTGACCACGAATGAACCATTTTAATTTCATCTTCTACATTTGTCAATTTAGAAATTTTACCATGATTTGTCTATTGATTTGTTCCAGTTCCATCAACAATGATTTTAACATGACGTCTCTCTGTGTCACTGTAAGAACTGAGAAGCAATACTAAATTCTCTCTGTCTGTCTGTCTCTCTGTCTGTCTCTCTGTCTGTCCGTGTTGTCTTCTTATTTTCTCCTGTGTAGGGATGCTCTGTTGACCAGTACTATAAACTGCGTCACAAGTTTTTTCTCAGGTTTTGTCATCTTTTCTGTGCTTGGATATATGGCTCACAAACACAAGGTGAAAATAGAAGACGTAGCGACTGAGGGTGAGCAAATCTCTGAATGAATATAATGTGTAAGAAGGTGATCTAAAACTGGCCATGCCGTTTAATCACTACTCTGTTGTTGTGTCTCGTACGGTGTGTGTGTGTGTGTGTGTGTGTATTTACAGGTGCAGGGCTGGTTTTTATTCTCTACCCTGAAGCGATCGCTACACTACCTGGCTCTACATTTTGGGCCATTGTGTTTTTCTTAATGCTGCTAACTCTGGGCATCGACAGTGCAGTGAGTCCCATTAACTCTTTAGTTGCTGCTCTAGCTCTGTAAACACAGCAAAGAACCTCCTCAACAAAACAGACTGGGCCACACGATAGGAGAAACTGAGAGATTGAATCACTGCACATTAGAATTAACAGAGTTCAAATACAGCACAGGGTCATTGTTCAGAGACACAGACATCTGTAGACAGCAGCTGTGGCCTGGCTGTCAAGGAGCATTTTGTGAATGTTAAGTATATGAAAAGCAATACCTGTATTCCTACAATGGAATTTGATTATTATATAACTCCTCAAGCAATTTTAATTATATATTTTTATAATAGTCTAATTGATTAACATTTAACACTATGTCAGATGATTGACATGGAGATGGTGTTTATCAACAGTCACCAAAAGAGTTTGTTGAGTTCTCATGTTTGTGTTGATAGATGGGAGGAATGGAAGCGGTCATCACAGGCCTCACCGATGACTTTGCAATCCTCAAGAGGAACAGGAAGCTCTTCACCTTTGCGACTGCCTTCCTCACCTTCCTGGCTGCTCTGTTCTGTGTCACTAATGTCAGTAAAACCAGCCATAGTGGGTTTTTTTTGTTTATTTTTTGTTTTAACCCCCCACCCCCACCCCCAAAATATTTGCTTAAGGGCTGGCCACAATCTCGAGCCTATTCATGAAAAGCAAAACTACATTAATAGGCAATAATATTATTGTTTGCACTGATAAAGTAATGAGTAATGATATCAGAGGAAATGTTCATGTTGACATTGGATGGTTCAAAACCACAGATTTGATACAGTTGCCCAACACTGCTACTGTGTTAAAGATCAGCTTGTTTTTTTTTTAATCTGTTCTAAAATGCCAAGATCTAAGAACTTTTGACCGATTCGTCATCTGTCCACGGAGTCTCATCATTATTAAATTAATCACTGGTAGACAGACAGAATCAGTACAGACATAAATTATCTCTTTGGCATTTTCCTGATGGATCAGTCCTTAGGTCTGATGATGTGATATTAAGTTTGATTTTGTCAGTCTGCCTCGTTCTGTCCCTGGACTTGGACACACACAAAAAAAGTCCACAATCACAGCGAAACCAAATCCTAGCCATAAGTTAGCGATCCACGTGATACTTTTCCTGCTTCCTTCATTTAATTTAAAAGAATAAAATAGTTGCAGTCAATGAATGAGTCCTTTCCTCCGTCTAATTTGCCTGAACAAGGTAGAGATTGAAAGACACACAAACAAAATCAAAATATTTTTCTTACCATGTGAAGTTGGTCTAAGCGTCTTCCTCCCCTCAACTCAAGTCCAAATGAAAAGCAAACATATTCAAGGCAATAATTACATGCAGGGGCCCACTCACACAAACACACTCAATGGTTCTGTCTCTTATCACAGGGAGGGATCTATGTGCTGACCTTGTTGGACAAGTATGCAGCGGGGACCTCTATCTTGTTTGGTGTGCTGGTCGAGGCCATCGGAGTGTCCTGGTTCTACGGTGAGCACAGCAGCGCTTGTAGATTAAAGTTGAATGTATTACATAAGTTATTAAACAAAAGTATATATATAGTATTTGGGTGAGGCCTTAAAGGTAAACTGGTCCTGCTTTTTCCAGGTGTGGACCGCTTCAGTGAAGACATCGAGCGGATGATGGGCTTTAAGCCTGGACTGTACTGGAGGCTGTGCTGGAAGTTTGTGAGCCCTGCGTTTCTTTTGGTGAGAAAATTTCATACTGTATATCTGCAAAAACATGTTCTGAGTTTACACACTGTGAGTGCAGAAATATCCAAATGCAGCTTGTCATAAAATGTATAAAATAATAACACACCTATATATATATATATAACATATTACATAATATAATATATGTAACATATTATTTTGGTTCATATGATTTTTAAAAGAATCCATTAAACTTAACCATGGGTGTTTCCCATGGACCACACAACAGCATAACAATAATACCTGCAACTTTTTCGGTCACAGCTCACAAAAGTTTCAAGGCCAGAGTCAGAGTCCTAATCCCATTCCACTGAGAATCAATAACTAAAGTAAATGAATGTAACAGTTCGAGGCGTTAACCACAGAAAACGGCTTTTATTGCACAACTCATTCAATCAACGGTGCCAGTGCTTCTGGCCTGGTCCCAGAGGGAGAATGGGACAGAGAGGATGGATGCATGGATGGATGGATGGAAGGACGGAAGGATAGATGGAACCTCCTCCACCTTCTGGCAACTTTCTCAGTGGCTTGTGAAATAACCTCCTCGTGGCTCAATGTGCATCGGAGGAAGCACATGGCTGGGCCTGCTGTTCGTAGTGGTGGCGTAGGCAGTCACATGTTTCCTTCAATACAAATGGCTGTTGTCAAACAGTGATGTATTGATGATTGATGAAGACTGCTGTGTAACATAGTTCACACAGACGGACTAAAGGAATAAAATGCTATTGTTCCTGGATGCGCTGTTAGCGACACCAGAGCGTAAGTGACATTCTTGAACACTTAACGTAAGCATCAAATATAATCTGGTATGTCATTTCTTAAAAGAAGATTCCTATTGGGCCAGATTAGGCCAAGAAAATATTTTTAAGCATTTTGACAAAACCTTGGATCCAGTTTCCTCTAAATTAACACAGTTGTTTCTTTTGTCTTTTCGTTTGGAGTCCTGGTTCCTTGGACATTCTGAATGAGTGAGTCCTATATGTGGTCTTTTGATGGACTGGTGATGTTATAACCAGCCCACGTTTAGTGACTACTCGGCTGGGCTTCAGCTTCTCTCTGCCATCATGAAGGCATCAGTCGACAAAACATTTTCCTCTTTTTTAGCCCCTTTATTCACAAAATTTCAATTTGATCCATACATTCATAAATTATGCAATGTGAATGGCAGCAGATATAAAATATTCATTATCTCAGACTTTATTGTGTTTATTACAGTGTAAAAAAAATCCCTACAAATAGAAAGACCACCCATGTGACCCTGCAGGTAAGCCTGTCCTCCAGCACAGACCTGCCAGGTTCTGTCAGCGACGGAGTGGCCTTTATCAAAGGTAGTATTTCTCATGGACATATAAGAGCGCTGTAACCTTTGGTGGTCAGAAACACAGGGTTCTCCTGTTGTACTGACCTCCTCATGAGACGTAACAGCGAATGACATTTTCATGAGACAAGGTTCAGAACAGTGTCATCATGAGTTTTATCTAGAACAGGACGATTAGATTACTGAAGGAACACAGGCAGTCTCCTGATTCCAGTTTATATTTTAGAGAGGAGGTTTGTTAAGGAGTCTGTTCTGGTTAGGAGGATTTGATTGATGACGTTTTTGTCGCCCTCTGTTTTTCTCCCCTTCAGTACTTCAGTAACTGTACAAAGTCATGTTACTTCACTAATACCTTTCTCACTCTTATTCTGTTCCAGTTCGTGGTCATAGCCAGTACACTGACAGCATCACGCCTCAAGTACGATGACTACACCTTTCCTTATTGGTCAAACATCCTGGGCTGGGGCCTGGCCATGTCCTCCATGCTGTGTGTCCCTTTGTACGCTCTGTACAAATTCCTCAGCATCCCAGGAACAATCAAAGAGGTCAGTATCACATAAATAAAATAAAATGCTCACGCGAGATTAGTATGTACTGGATATATTTCTGCTGCCATCAGTATTTCTGCCGCACTAATCACTGTGAGGTCAACTGAGGTCAATTCACTGATGTTTCCAGGGCAGCATCGACAGTTATGATGAATTTTGCAGCAAGTGGGCCGTTGAATTGTTCGAGTACATCAATAAATCATCTGGGCTTAAGCTAACTGCCTGTACCTGCTCACAAGTGTTGCCTCATTTGCCTGAATGAAATTTCAGCTGACACTTAAAAAAAAATACAAATTGACAAAAAAAAATCCTGTAGTTCAAAATCCAGAAAATAGGAGCAGGAAAAAACAACTGTCAACTGAATGCTAAAAGGTTCATTCAATTGAAAAGAAATCTGGATTTTTATCAGGTTTGCAATTGTATGCTGCGGTACCTTTTCTTCTTTAGTGCAATTGGAAGGCTTTAAGATTCATGGCCTGCACTGCTACAGCTGTGGCTGAATGACCGCTCAACAGTATATTACACCCAAAATTCATCGGTAGTTATGTTTGGTTAAGTCCCACACCGATATACTGCAGGTTGATTTTGTAAATGAAATGTGCTGTGAGCTAACTGTTAACAATGATCTGTTTCACAGAGGATAGCTTATTGTATCACCCCTGAACATGAACATCATTTGGTGGCTGAAGGAAATGTACGGCAGTTCAAAGTAAGGGCAACATTTCACCTTACTTGTTACCTTTTTTGTCTAGAACATGTGTCAAACTCAAGGCCCGGAAAAACATGAAAAAATACATCTGCTTTTTTTTATGTAGGACCAGAAATAAATATGTAATTAAGATCTTTACCTTTAACCATTTCTAATTTCAATTCGCCATAAGAGACATTATATATCTTTCTACTATATTTCAGCTCAGGCACTGGATGGCCATCTGATGAAAGATACCCAGAATTCCCTCGGCCATTGTCACATGTTGTTAGGAGGTCCAACACTCCAGGAGCAGCCCCAGGAGCAGGTCCAACACTCTAACATCTCTGAGGAGCAGCCCCAGTTACCACCTGTTGCCAAGAAGCACTTTGTTCTTTTTGTTGTTTTGATTTTTAAAGGATTGTCTAACTTTGGTCATATGGGGGGGGGGGGCTCTTGGCATGTTCAGGATTTTTATATTCTTTTACATTTGGTTCTATTTCATTTCATGGTTTTTGCCATATGTATTTCCTCCTAGAAAGGTTAAAAGGGTTTTCTCGTCTTGGTGCATTATATGTTTGAGTGCCTTATCATGAAAGACACTACATTCTGCATCCATACTGGAAATTAGAAAAAAAATCAAACAACGTTCGACTCAGGAACCAATCAAATTTGACCACAGTTGGTTGATGGCTAAGGCTGTTATTTATTCCAGTAATTCGTCAGGTGAGCATGAGTGTTGCATGAGTGTTAAAGAGGTCACCAAAGTTTTTAACTTATCATTTATCATGCTTATATTTTTGCCCCCCCCCCCCCCCCTTTAGGAAACAAGACTGACATGGCCAATAAGAGAGAAAAAGTTGAAGAATTCTAACCAAAACCACCAATTTTACCAGTTTTGAATTTTTTTGGTTTTCATTTTTATGCATTTTTTTCTTTTTCTTTTTTTTTGGTTCAGTGCTGTGTAGAGAAAGGTAGGGTTGATGATTCAGATCGCTGTGACTGTGACACCTCTGGCTCTGCACTGTTTATTTACTACATGTTTGGTAGTAAATTTATAGCTTATTCACTTATATCAACATCGATCTAAAGATATTCTAGTTCACAGTAGCACGATCGCCACCCTCTGTTATTTCTTTCATATTATTGGACTAAAGTAAGTATAAAAAACCAACCAGAATATTGAACTAAGCCACAGAGAGTAAATAAATAAATATAAGTGGAACATATAGGGATATATATATATATATGAAATATATTGATATATTGTTTTGTTATATCTAATCATTTATTTATCGAAATGTTTATAACAAAACGTGAATGTAAAGTATATTAAATGTAAGTGTCCACAGTCTTTACAGTGTGTTTGATGTGTAAGAAAACAAAAGACTAAATATCCCATGGTGTAAGCCTAGGTTACTTTTTCACATATGAACGAGAAGTAATACGCTCTGTCTTGGACTATGTTTACAAAAAGCTGTGTACCATACCAGTGTCCTGTTGAACGTGAACAGCAACTCTGTATGAAGAAGTCTGAAGTACTCTCACTATGATAATAAAGAGTTTCATCTACGCACAACCTTCATGGCCCTTCTGCTGTGATTGAAAAAGTTTGAAAATCTCTGTGTCAATTCAGACGTATTTTTTAAGAAACAAATCTTCCATCGCGCCTGTGCCTTTTCCCGGACATTGAGCGACTTACTGGGAAAACACATGTGAACTGTGGGAGAACTTTCTGAAGGAAGAAATGCCGCTTATTAAACACAAATTGATCTGTAAAAATCCTCACACACTTAAGGGAGGAAATATAACGCTATTGATGTCAGGGCAGAAAATAAAAAAAACCTGGATGTTGTTTTGTACGGACAAATGATGCGACCGAAGAGAAGCATTTCAGCGGCGAGAGTTCCTGGGCTTAAATCCAGCACCGGGAAAAAGAGAGTTTATGATTTACAACAGGCTTTAGTCATGACAGCAGAAAAGGCTGGTTTATATATGAAGGACTACAAGGGATTAAAATCTACACTATTTACCCCAAACGGACTTACAAGATAATCTGGAGAACATTATAGGCTGCTGGATTGTATTCATTTATCACATGCACACACACATAAACACACTTGTATTTGTTCACGCAGTGCTTTCTCTAACCCTCATCTGACCTTACCGTTACCAGACATACACACAAACACATACATTAGTGACACACCAGGCTGCTGCAGATGTGAATGCAATTGTTGCATTTGCCAAAAACATTATCCAAGGAACAGCTGGAAACTTCAGGGTTAAGAAAAATCCTTTACTTTCTTTTCTAAGTATCAGGGGAGGCTGTAGCTCAGTGTTTGGCTTACACCCCAAGGGTTGTGGGATTGATTCCAGACTATCTAGTTTATATACTGCCACCCTGCTGTCAGTAGGTACATAGCAAAACCTAAAATATAAAGCACCAGGTCACCGATCACCTGACCACTGGTCATCAGGACTGGAAAAGTGCTAGAGACAGATGGTAATAAGAAAAGTTCAGAAATGATGAAACCATTTGCTGCACTTTTTTTTAACGTCATTTAAAGGGGTTGACCGGGGACATCAGTCTGGTTTTAGTTGCAAGGAGCAGACAGGAGTATAACCACGTCTGAGGTACTGGACGTACTGTGTAAAAATGTTAAATATGAAGGGAGGATAAAGGAAGAACGTAGACGGGAGCAGAGATTTGTGCAGATTAGAGCTTCAAGTGGCGTCATCACCTGCTGCCAGATTTGGAAGGTACTGTACGTAAATGCTTTTCTCAGATGCCATCAGATCACCATAAGTGAAGGTCTTGCAGGTACAGGCAGTCATAGAGACTGCTGCCCCCGCGACCCGGTAACGGATAAGAGGATGAAGATGGGTGGATGAAATTAGACATAATTAAATATTTTTCTGCCTCTTACGTAACTTCACTTAAAAATCCATACACGCCCTAACTTACCCTTACTATCGAATTGAACAATAACAATGGCAACAATGCTCAGTTAGTGCAAGGCGCCACTCTTATCACGCTGACTTGAAAAATAACCGGCGTTTAAACATAATGGACAAATGTTGACCTCCAAAGAAAGATTACATAAAGAAAAGTATGTTTACTGGACTAAACTTGGTGAAAGTGAGGGAATTCCCTCAGGAAACCTGCTGCCGGTTTTCTTCATCCATTGACTAGGTTTCTGTGCATACTGTGGTTTCGCTTGGCTGTTCCAGTGTCAGAGGTTTGAGGTTTCGTCTCTTCTCTTCCATGAAGACCACGTCAGGTCAGACATGAGTGTAACTGACAGCTGCTCTCTACTTTTTGACACTGTCCATCAGTTTATGTATGTGCATCATGAGTCACATCTTGTAAATCTACAACAAACTTACAGTTAAATGTTTAATATCAAGGCTTCTCAGTTGTTTAGTTGTAAATTAAGAAATGTTGAGTGTTAAACTCTTTTTGTCACCTTCTTTGTTCCCCTCTTTGGTGGTGAGTTTGAGGTTCCTTTAGCACAGCTGTGTTCACTCACCTGCAGCTCATCTCACTGATTGTCACCTCCTGGTGCATAAAAGCCCAGTCTTCCCACACTGGGTGTGGTGCTGGTGCTGTGGATCTGTTGGGAAGGAAATTCCAGTTTTGGTTTGTGAGAAGTGAAGTTGTTTTTCTCTGCTCAGGATCATCTGTCTGTTCTTCTGTCTGTTTGCTGCTCATCAGTGCGTTTCGTTTGACAGACTTTATTTTGGTAGCTGGGAGATTAGCCTTTGGCTCCTGTCTCGCCCCAAGGCACAACTATTTATGGCTCTTTCAGTGTTGTACAGTTCAGTCTAAATCAAAAGACTCTACCAATGGCATAATGTTAATTTGTGTGATCAATGTATGAATTTATTGTATGAATTATAAAATTGTTTCCATATCTGCTGCTAACACTGTGGCTATCACTTGGCAATGTAAGTTTTCCTTAAGTCTAAATCCAAACCAAACCAATAAGTTTTCCTTAAGTCTAAATCCAAACAGGCCAAACCCTTTTGTCAGGTAGAACTAGATGTTGTGGTAATTGCTCTGCTGCTTTGAAGACAACTGCGATCACAAAAGAACACAAGGCCAAAGAACAGAGCAGAACAATTCCAGCAGGTTCTAACTGTTCTCGTGTTTTTCCTTCTTTCTCTTCTTCTCTACCAGTTGTACTCTAATGCAACAAAAAGAGTCAAATCTGCAAAGAAATTGTTTAGCCACTAAAAATAAAACTTAAACTGGCCCACTATAGAGTGCTTCTCATTGGACACTGTGGAAAACTGTGATTGCAATAATCACATCTTGAGACTTCCTTAACTTCCTTAAACTCCCGATTAATAACGATCTAGCTAGTTAGCTACTTTCTACCTAAAACAGGGTTTATGCTCATATTTAAATTGTCAGATTATAATCCATGTTAGTGAGCCTGAGTATTCTTTGGGCAAAAATGTAAAGAAAACCTTGAAATCTCTTCTTTTTTTCCCCCATATGCAGGAATCTACAGATTGAGTAGCTGATTTTGGAATTATTTTTGGCAACACTTCCTGTATTTTCCTTAATATTACTGATGTGTTCACTGGTCACTTCCTGCCCTGTCAGATACCAGTCCCCCAGAGTATCACTCAGTTGTCTTGTTGGTGAACCAGATAAGACAGTAAGAGCTACAACAATAACAGCAAATGTGTGTGTTTTAGTTTGTGCTACACAGGCTGTGTCCAAGAAATCAAACATACAGAACTAAGGTGTCACCTGTTCTTTTAGTGAAGCCCCAAATGCAACAAACTGTTGAGCTGTCAAGTATGTGGTTAATTAACTTGGCAAAAAAACTGTTCGATTTTATAACAGTTTTATACAGGCTAACAAAGGTTTAACAAAGTTATAACAGACACAGTCCTGTAATGTAGAGACAACAGTGAGACAGTGAGACTCAGTACAGCATTAAGATACGTTTGTTTCATCATATCATACTGGACCACCATCTTAGAACTTTGAGAAATTGTGATTCTGAAGTTGAAACAAATTCCATCCATCACTTTTGTGTTAAACTCACCACAAACTCAGATACACTGTTAATCCATGCAGAAAGAACACAGTATGGTTCACGTTTAAAAACACACGCAGTGCTTCACATCGTCTTAAGCTGCCGTACTTTGACGAGCCAGCACACAACGGTAAACAATTCTGTCATCTCATTATCTCATCTTCTCTATAACTGTTTACAGACCCAGTTGGTAACAATTACAGAGCAGGCCACTGATAAGAATGTTTTAATGTTCACAACCAGAACCTTTGACTTTGCTCAAAACAAGTTCATTTGTATGTTTACTGTAGTTTTCTCCCCTCCCAGTTTCACAGTAAAGATTATCTGTACTGTCTGCCCTTGTGATGCTTGATGCATATCACACTCAACAACACGGGGTCTGCTTGTGTTTGTTCAACCAATATAAACACACACATCACAGCCAGCGTCAACATCTGTCTCTTCAAATATAATATCAGCTGGGACATTTGTTAGCTATCATTTTAATAAACCAGACATCAGTAACAGAGTTTGGTCGAACAAACCCAAGGAGTGAGGACAGCAGGGTTCTTCACACACCCGTTTGACACTCCTCTTCCTGTACCTTTGGCTTTAAATGCTGTCAGGCCACTGCAGGCTGCCCCAGCCTCTTCCATGGGTGTGAGACCTAAGGACGGCTTTATGTAACCATGGCAACGGTTGAGCAGCCAGAGGGGAACGGCTGCCGGGCAACAAACTGCAGTCCCACCATATATGTTGGGGCCAGAATGTTGGCCAGTAAGTTAGGTTTGTGAATTCATCAGTACTAATCACAGTTGTACTCAGATTGTCTCCCCCGTGTGGTTACAGGTGACAACGCAGTATAACATCTGTTCCATCAACTCTGTGCTAAGTTAGCTTCACTTTCAGGTTGTGAGTTGTAGCAGTAAAGTCAACGGTGGATTCTCACACAGGTACAGTAGACGGTGGAGCTTCTAGTTTCCCTTATAAGAAATAAGGCACACGTATTAAAAGAGTGTGTTCTTGGTACATCTCAGCTGCTTGTTTAGCCATGAAGGGGTAACAGCACGTTGAAGAGACCCTCTGTCAGTTAGAGTGGGCTAATCCTCACTTTAGATTTGAAAGGCTATTTGAAGTAGAGTTGATGTTGGTATGGCTGTTAAAAAAAAAGAAAAGAACTAAAAGAAATGTGAACCCTGCCTTTAACTGTCAAAGCTCTGCTTTTTCCCACTTTTCTCCTTTTACCTCCACCCTATCTCTGTATCTCCTCCAACCTCTCATTTCTAATCTTGTTTGAGCTGGTTCTTTGTCTGCTTTCTGTCACAGAAGGAGCATGGTCCTGATGTTATCATCCTACAGCAGAAGATTTCCTGTGAGGGGAACGGTTTCTGCATTTGTGTGTGTGTATGTATGGTCGAGGTGTAGCTATACTTGTGGGGACTTTTTTCATGTCCTCACTAGAAGAAGAGGACAGTTTGAAGACTGTGATTTAGTTTGGCGTTAAGATTAGGATTAGAATAAGGGCCGGGTCATGCAGTAAATC